ACAGAGTCACTGTACCAAAAAGAAATGGTTAATGTTCAACCATTTCAAGAGGTACCATATGATCAAGAGCCAATGATACTCAGGGAAGAAGTTCAAGGTGTATTGAAGGAATTGGCAAAGAACAAGGCACCAGGAATTGATGGAATAAAAATGGAAATCTTTCAGGAAAGTGAGGCGGCACAAGAGGCACTCACTCATCTCTGCCAAGAAATTTGGAAGACAACTATCTGGCCGACTGATTGGAAGAGATCCATGTTTGTGCCCATTCCAAAGAGAGGTGACCCAACAGAATGCGGAAATCATCTGACAATCTCTTTAATATCTCAAGCAAATGAAGTTTGGCTGAAGGTAATACAGAAACGGCTACAATCATACATTGACAGAGAACTTCCAGAGGTTCAAGCTGGATTCAGAAGAGGCTGTGGAACGAGATATATCATTGCTGATGTCCGATGGATCTTGGCTGAAAACAGAGAATATCAGAAAGATGTTTACCTGTACTTTATTGACTATGCAAAGGCTTTCGATTGTGTGGATCATGACAAGCTATGGACAACATTGTGAAGTATGAGTATTCCAGAACACTTAATTGTACTCATAAGGAATCTGTACCTGGACCAAAAAGCAGTTGTTTGAACAGAACATGGAAACACTGAATGGTTTAAAATTAAGAATGGTGTGTGACAAGGTTGCATTATTTCACCATACTTATTCAACCTGTATGCTGAGCAAATAATATGAGAAGCTTGTTCAATGAAGAAAAATGTGGCATCAGGATTGGAGGAAGACTCATTAACAATCTGAAATATGCAGATGATACATCCTTGCTTGTTGAAAATGAAGAGAACTTAAAACATTTACTGATGAAGATCAAAGAGCACAGCCTTCAATATGGATTACATCTCAATGTCAAGAAAACAAAAATCCTCACCACTGGACCAATAAACAACATTCTTATCAATGGAGAAAAGATTGAAGTTGTCAAGGACTTCATTCTTCTTGGATCAACTATCAACACTCATGGAAGCAGCAGTCAAGAGATCAGAGGATGTATTGCATTGGGCAAATCTGCTGCACAGGAACTTTTTAAAGTGTTGAAGAGAAAAAAGGTCAGCCTGAGGACTAAGGTGCCATGGTATTTTCAATAAACTCATATGGATGTGAAAGCTGGACAGTGAATAAGGAAGATCATAGAAGAATTGATGCCTTTGAATTATGGTGTTGGAGGAGAATACTAAGAGTGCCATGGGCTGCCAAAAGAACCAATAGATCTGTTTTGGAAAAAGTGCAGCCAGAGTGTTCCTTAGAGGCCAAAATGGCCAAACTTCATCTCTCATACTTTGGACAATATTGTCGGGAGGAACGGTCGCTAGAGAAGGATATCATGCTTGGTAAGATGGAGGGTCAGAGACAAACAGGAAGACCCCAACGAGATGGATTGGCCAGGTGGCAGCATTGATAGACTCAAGTGTGGCAACAGTAGTGAGGTTGGCCCAGGATTGGATATTGTTTTGTTCTGCTGTGCATAGGGTTGCTATGAGTTGGTGCCGACTTGATGGCACCTAACAACAACAACAGTTCTACTTTAAAATTTCTGTTCAACTATTTTACTATATCATTTATTCCATTTCTTGTGGAAGGGCTTTCTGTCATTCCGCATGTGGTGCAGTGAATTATTTAATGTCTCTTCTAGCCACAGTTTTGTGCAGCTCCCACCAAACCGCTTGAGGACTAAGGTGTGCCTGACCCAAACCATGGTATTTTCAATAATCTCATATGTATGTGAAAGCTAGGCAGTAAATAAAGAAGACTGTAAAAGAATTGATGCAATTTGAGTTATGGTGTTGGAGTAGAATATTGAAAGTGCCATGGGTTGCCAAAAGAACCAACAGATCTGTGTTGGAAGAAGTGCAGCCAGAGTGCTCCTTGGAGGCCAGGATGGCCCAACTTTGTCTCTGATACTTTGGACATATTGTCAGAAGGGACCAGTCACTGGAGAAGGATATCATGTTTGGTAAGGTGGAGGATCAGAGGAAAAGAAGAAAACCTCCAGAGAGATGGATTGGCAATGTGGCAGCATCAATGGACTCAAGCATGGCCAACAGTTGTTAAGTTGATCCACAACCAGGCAGTGTTTCATTCTGTTGCGCATATGGTCACTATGAGTCACTACTGACTCGATGGCATCTAATAACAACAACCAGACAACTTTTCCCTGATGAATGAAGATAGGGGAGATGCTGACAGGATTATATAATTCAGTTGTAAGTGACTGTTAACAGAGCTAACTGTGTTTGTAAAAACTTGGAATTCTATTTGTTGTTGGTAAGTGCTGTTGAGTCACTGCCAACTCATAGTGACCTTGTATACTTGCATAGGGTTTTCAAGGAATGGCTGGTGAACTTGAACCTGACCTTGAGGTTCAAACTGACTTTGTGGTTCAAATATACTTTTCAGTCCAGCACATTAACCCACGGCACCACACCAGAACTCCTAGTCTGTAGTGTTTATGTGCTTGGGGTCATGGAACCCGGCTAGTGTTTCTGAGGCTGTAAATCTTTATGGGAGCAAAATGCCTCATCCTTCTCCTGCTGAACAGCTGGTAGTTTTGAACTGCTGACCTTGAAGTTAGCAGCCCAACACATAATCACTATGCTACCAGAGCTCTTTTCTTTTGTGAACAGTATTACAATATACATTAGTGTACATGTCTGTTTGAGTCTCTACTTTTAAATATTTGGAGTATATACCTAGGAGTGAAACTGCCAGATCGTATAATAGTTTTGTTGTTAAGTGCCTTGGAGTTGGTTCAAACTCACAAAGACCCAGAATAGAACCAGTTTCCAAGGTGAAAGTGTTGAGTCTGAACCACCGACCATGTGGTCCAGTGCTTTATCCTATAGTGCCACACTAGGACTCCCTCATGTGCACTGTTGTTTTTAATTGCTGTCGAGTAGCTTCCAACTCTTAGTGACCCTGTAAAGGGTTTCAAGGAGTAGATGTTGAGTTTAACTGACAATGTTGTGGTTTAAACCAACCTTGTAGTCCAGTGCTTTATCCCTCAGCAAGCCTCCTCAATCCAGGGGTAGAAAGCTTTGACAGCAGAAAAGTGGCATAGGAGTGGCAGAGGAGCAGTAGCAGTGGAGCCAGAGCTTCCATTCCCACCTAGTGAGTAAAGCCCAGCGCCTTCAGGCAGGATGCTAGCTTGTGGAATGGGGTGCTTTTATGCACTTAATTTGGTGAAACAAATTTGAAGAACCCAGGAGCTAGCATTCAGTGCCTTTGGACTGAGGCTTATAATTTATAGTGGAATGCCCTTTGGGCATTCATTGTTGTTGCAGTGCCCTGGAGTCAGTTCCGACTCATAGCGATCCTGTATAGGGCTTCTGAGGAGCAACTGGTGAGCTTGAACCACTGACCTTGAGGTTCAAATTGACTTTGCAGTCCAGCACATTAATCCACAGCACCACAACCCTAAAGGAACTTTGTAAGCTTGCCTGAGCAGAGAGGACTAGGGGCCATAGAGAGGCTTGCCTGTGGATACAGCGGAGAAGAGGCTGTCCTGACTGGAAAAACTATATCCTGAACAGTTCTAGTCCTATATTGTAGCCTGGTAACTTTTCAACTCAACCACATAATTGTGAGTATTGTCTCTGAGTGTGGACATTGTAACAAATGATCAAACCCAGCAGAGACGTAGAGTGCTGTGGGAAGGACAGTTGGTATCAGAACTGGTAAAGAAAGCTGGAGAGTAGAGGCATGTCTGACCTCAGCCTCAAAGGAATCAACCTTGGACTAATGCTGATGAATTTGGCTCTCCTTCCTCCATGTGAAGTCAGAGGTCACACAGCTTCTCCCTTTTTTTCAGCAGGACACCAGATAAAGTCTTAAGAAAGGACATATCTATGTATATATATGAATAAAGTGGTGTATTTTACTTCCTATGTATCCAAATGTGTACAATGTAAAGAAATGGCTACCTGGGATACAGGGATCCAGTTTCTGTGTAAATAGGATATGGCCAATGATACACAAAAACATCAAAATATCCTCACAACTAGCCACAGTAATGGCATGTGCATTTTTTATATGACTGAACCAACAATATGAAAGATATTTCTAGCAAACTTAAAAATAATACCTTTTCCCTCCATTTTTCCACTCTAGCAATATAAAGAAGAAATAAATGAACAAATCCAATTCCTTGACTACTCACTCAGCTGGTCAATCATTACTCTTAAATATAAAGTCCTCATCTGAGAATTTTCTATGCATATATATTTTTTTCTAACAAATATTATTTCTTTCCTCTAACTTCCTGAACATTTGCTCTTTTTTTTTTTTTTTTTTTTGTGGATGTGTGTTAAGTGAGCAGCCTCATAAAAAGTCATTCTAATGTAGCCCTAGACTAACATTATGTGGTGTGCAAGTACAAGGGTGAGAATATATGCTGCAAATGAATGAAAATATACCATAATTTAAATTTAATTTTTATTATTTTTGAGATTTAAAATATCAATGTTAATAAGGTAATACAAAAAAAGGGACTGAAAATTTTTTCAAAGATAAACTCATACCCAAAGTCTACTGGCCAGAGTAATGAAAAATAAATTTTATATACTCTTGAATATTCTCAAATGACGATAGTTAATATATATTCACAAATTTCTATGTGTCAGGCACTGTGTAAAGAAATTTGCATAAATTAGCACAAAAAATCCATTGGGGGATAGTACTTTAATTAACTTTATACTCATTTTGCAAATGAAGAAACTATACAATAGAGAGGCATGTAACTTTACCAATGTCACAGTCAGGATATCACAATTGTAATCCCCTTTTGGCTGATAATGGGGAGTTAGTTGTTTTTTTCTATAGCATGGCTGTAACTAATTATTTCTAAAGGCTTTATGACCAAACATGACTCTCTTTATCCTAGCCTAATTCTGCCCAAAACACTTAAATAGCTTTACATATTCAAACTTCTCTCTTATGCTTGCTTAATTCTGCTGAGAACACCTAACTATCTTCATAAACTCAAACTTTTTAACAATGCGTTGTCGGATCTGTTTCGTTTTGATGCTATAGACAATGGGATTCATTAGAGGTGGTACCAGCAGATAGACATAAGACATGAGAAGGTGCACAATGCGGGGCAGGTGTTCCCCAAAGCGGTGTACAAGAGACAAGCCAATCATGGGGATGTAGAAGAGTAGCACAGCACAGATATGGGAGACACAGGTGTTGAGGGCCCGGAGTCGCTCCTGGCGAGAGGCAATGCTCAGTACGGTGCGTAGGATAAGGGCATATGAGAGGAAGATGAGGAGGGAGTCCACACCCACAGTGCAGGCTACAACAAACAGTCCATATATATGATTGACAATAATACTGGAGCAGGCCAACTTCATGATTTCCAGGTGTAGACAATAGGCATGGGCCAGCACATGTGTGCGGCAGAAGTGAAAGCGTTTAAGGAGGAATGGTAGCGGTAGGATGAGAAGGGCACTTCTAAGCACCGAAGTCAATCCCATCTTGATAATGCGTGCAGGTGTCAGGATGGTGGAGTAACGCAGTGGGTTGCAGATGGCCACATAGCGGTCAATGGACATGGACAATAGAACTGAAGATTCCACCAGAGACAAAGTATGGATGAAAAAGAGTTGAGTGAAGCAGGCAGGGATGCCAATCTCTCGTGTATCAAACCAGAAGATGCCCAGGACAGTTGGTAGTGTGGACAGGCAAAGTCCCAAGTCAGTGAGAGCTAGCATAGCCAAAAAATAGTACATAGGCTCATGGAGGGTGGCATCAGTACGGATGACATGGAGGATAGTAAGGTTCCCTACAATAACCGTCAAGTAGATAGAGAAAAAGGGAATGGAGATCCAGCCATGGAGATCTTCCAGACCTTGGAAGCCTGTCAGGAAGAAAGTGGCTTTTTGGAGGCTGCTATTATAAGATATTGTCATGGCTTTACGATCTTGGATTCACCAATCTTCAATATAGAATGAAATCCATGGAAAAGGACCGGCATTAATTTTCACTCAACAAAATGTCCCAGGATCAGTGAGCAAGGAAGGTTCTGTAGATGGAATGGGAGAGAACTGGAAGACCGGATTGTGAAATCTTTCTCTAGAGGGTCTAGGAATGGGTTCTTTATAGGAGGTTGCTATAGCCTTTTGGGAGTCCTGGTGTGACACTGCAGGTTAATGCACTAGACTACAAAGTTGGTTTGAACTGCAAGGTCGTTGGTTCAAGTTCACCAGTTGCTCCTCAGAAAACCCTATACAAGTTCACTATGAGTCAGAACCAACTCCTCAGCTCTTAATAGCAGCAACAACATAGCCCATGGGTGTGTCATGTGACTTAGCCTTAGGGTCATATTCCGCAAGTGTTATCTTTTTAGATGTTAAAGGAGGTTATCTCAAATGGTACTTCTTTCATATGTTCCTCCCTGGTAAATCTCCAATTCCATCTCTAACACATTAAGAATCAACAAATACATCAGATATACAGGAAATTGGTGATACACAACTTTTGCATAATTGTCTATTAAAATCAGATGCATGTGATGTTCCTTCAAATGTATTTGTAAGTTTCATGCAGAATAGAACTGCTTTTACTATATTGTATGTCATTCCACAGTGCCTAGTTTAGTATGGTGGGCAGAACAAATGCTCAGTAAATTTTTCCTGGAGTTCTTGAATTTGTATCTTTTAACCAGAGAGATGCCTCTCCTGTCTCAATGGTGGTGGTGATGTTGGTTGTTATGGGTTCAACTCATAGTGACCCTGTATAGAGTTTCTGAGGCTGTAAATTTTTAAAGGAGCAGAAAGCCTCATCTTTCTCCTGCAGAACTGAACATTTTGGGTGGATGAGGAGGGATAAATTTTGGTGTGTGATTCTGAAGCCTGAGGGACATCTAAGAAGATGTAAACCTTCAGAAAATAATTAATTCTAGGAAAAGGGTCTTTGGGGCTTAATTCTGCAAGAGACAAGGAGAGATTAAGATAGTTAAACTGGGGTCAGATATAAAGGATAGGGATGCAGATGAAGAATGCATCAGGTCTGAAGTTAAGAGAACAAAGAAGAAAAACCTGAGGTGACCAGGAAAAGTCTTTGATTTGTAGTTTAGAATGAGGAAGCCTAATATGAAGACTCTTAGTAAGGAGCTCTGGTAGCGTAGTGGTTACGAATCGGGCTGCGAACCTTAAGGTCAGCAGTTCGAAACTACCAGCCGCTCCGCGGGAGAAAGATGAGGCTTTCTACTCCCGTAAGGATTTACACCCTCGGAAACCCTGTACAGGGTCGCTCTGGGTCGGAACCGACTCGACGGCACTTAACAACAACAACAACAACAGTTGAACTATGCCTCTTTGAGCTTCCATCATGATGACACAACAGGCATAGGTCTATTCCTATAATACCTCAGATGGGATTTCCTTTTTTCTACATTCAGAACTTTTATTTAATTTCATTTATTGTAAGACATTCTACATTGGGTTCTATTGATTTTCATCAATATAATGTGAGTGGTATATTGTTTATCACATACATAAAGTATTTAAAAATACATGTCTACTACCTTTTTAAATGCATGGTGTTTATTACCTCATCGAACTTTCATAACAATCCTACAACATATGTTCTATTCTTAGGCCTATATGTCTAGTAAAAAACAACTGTGGCATAGTATCAAACCCTGAGAGTACATTCCAGAATTTACATGATTTGTCTTCATACATAATATCCAGTATTACTACTCCATAGTGCTTTAGCCTTTGTAAGAGTCAGAAAAAATATAAATAAATAGCTAATAAAAAATCTTGTCAGTGTTCTACTTTGAACAAGTGCATGATAATTATTTCCTTTAGGTGGTTCCAAATGGGTTATGATAGAGCAGAAACATGTTTATGTATTGGGTTCACCATTCTTGGAAGTATATGGAGAGAATATTATATGTAGCAATCCTTTGTTTGAGTGTGGCCTTGAGGTATACATCTGACTTAAATATGGATAGCATTGCTAGTACACACAATAAGGAAGATAGGGGTTTATTCTATAATATTGGTACTGCTTCAAATTAAACCAGAATCACAAAAACAGAATGAAAATAGGAGCATATAATACCAATAAAGTCAAGTCATCATTGTTGGCTATAAAAAAGAGATAAAGTCTTAGGTGGATTTAAAAAAACAAAACAAAACAAAACATTGTGCTTATGATGCTAGTAAGGCCTTTGTTGACTTTTTAAGGGAATATTTCAGCAGAATAGAGAAGGAATACAAGAGGAATAGGTAAAAACTTGATTTTTGTGTAATTTTCCTCTAAGAGAACATATACAGGATGAGAGAAGATAAAGGATAATTATAAGGGAGAGAAGTGGGAGGTTTAGGGTGTTTGTTCAAAAGACTTCCTTATTTTCAGAAAAGTAGAGAAACATTAAGGAACTAAGAATGACAAAATAAAGGTCTATACTGTTTGTCACTCACATATCAAATCATAACAAATGATAATATAATAATTTTAAAACATTCTTGTTTTATGATTCTAAATGAGAAACAAGAAAAAGATAGCAAGAGGAATAGTTAGGATACAGGAAGAAGAGAGGAGAGAAATGGAACCTTGGAGAGGAGGTAGATTGTGAAACAAGTAGTGGATATGCTATGGGAGGCACAAACAACAATGTGACCTTGCTCTGAAATAAACAACAGTGGTTAAGATAGAAAATGACAAGATAATTTTTAAAAGGATACATTTTTGATCAATAAAGGAGAGATATAACAAGAGTTTAAATGTGTGTAATAGTATTATAACCATCAGACTAACAGTAAAGCTGGTTTCTATACTTCTTACTCTGAGACATCTTGGAGTTTGAAAAGTAGAAGAAATACTTGAAGTAATCTATTTTACTCATTTACCTCTATACAGATAAGGGTCACTCTGCCTGTTTAGTGAAAAGTGGTCTTATAGTAGTCCATATTATTTTCTCCAGTTTCTTCCAAATATAGTTCTTGCATATTATATTTTGGCAGGAGTCATTGCCAGGACCAGAGAAGGTATATATCCATATACGTCACTAGACTTGTAGCCCTGGCACAGATTTGGAAACCACAAGGTTTGCTGAATGTTGAATGAATGTGTGAATGCATGAATGAATGGATGAGAAAAAAAAAAAAAAAAAATTAGCAGGGATTGAACAGGATAATTTTTAATGCAATTACTCTGAATTTTATTCTCACAGACATTCACTTTCAAACTAATGGACCAAAGAAAAGTCAGCTGACTTTGCCACTACACTTTTGACCTTTGAGCCTTCCTTCAAGTTTAACTTATTGGGAGGTTGTTTAAGGAGATGTTATCCTAAGACTCTTGCAAGAGAGAAGGGAGAGATGGACTTATTTGTGCTCCTGTTGAAATCCTGACTCTCATGGACTCAGATCCCTTATATAATGCAACCCAACACTGTTTATGATTGTCAACCTCAATGTTGTTGTTGTTGTTGTTAAGTGCCGTCGAGTCGTTTCCGACCCATAGCGACTCTTACAGGGTTTCCAAGGCTGTAAATCTTTATGGGAGTAGATAGCCTCATCTTTCTCCCATCAACCTCAATGACAGTCTATAAATTCCTCTCAACTTGGTGATGGTCTAGAAATTCCTTTCAAAGGCAATTACAATCTTATATTAATATAGAGCTTAATTATTATAAAACATTGGTATTTTCAGTCCAACAACATATAGGTCTGAAGGGGGCAATAACACTATGGAGGTATGAACAGTTTAGAACAATTAACCACTTGAGATCAAGAGGACAACATTTACCTTAGAGTAATCAACTATTTGAGATCAAAATGGCAACATTTACCCAAGGACAAGTTCAGAAACGTTAGGTATGAAAGAGGAATGAAAATAGGAAACACAGAGAGGAAGGAGAAAAGTCATGCCGCGTTGTGGAGATTGCAATCCGTGACACGAAGCAAAATGTGTCTGACTTATTGGACGGAAAACCAATCTGCTCTGTAAACTCTACCTCATTTACAAGAAAAAGTTTTAAACAAATCCACTTTGTTGATTAATTCTCATACTGCAATTTTAAGTTAGGAAAGGTTAAGAGTACAATTCCAATTTTAAGGAAAAGGGAATTAATATTGCAAACAGATAAAGCTGAATTTAAAAGGTCACATACATTGACAATGTTTCTCAAAAATTAAAGTGAGTAACTTAAAGCAGAGATTTAGCAAGTATCTAAGACTGCGCGGTGTGGCTCTGTAGGATCAGCACTGGACTGCGAGCCACAAAGTTGGCAGTTCAAGCTTATCAGCTTCTCCTCAGAAACCCTACAGAGGGTCACTATGAGTCAGAATGGACTCAATGGCACTTAAGAACAACAACAAGAAGACTGATAGTGTTGTGTTTATCCCTGGGTATTTCTGCTCCAGTGATCTCTGTGTTCTTTGCTGCTCTCTCTATCTAATTCTGCTGGCAATGCATACCTGATCACCAGAAGCTGGAAGAAAAAGGAACGGCAGTAAATACTTCAGGAATCAGGGCAGGTAGGAGATGAGCTAAAAGAATATCTTGGTTAAGATGCAGAGCCTTTTTGAAGAACTCAGTGGCTTCTCTTCAGGGACTTCTGCTGAGTTGAGCATTCCCTTCGAAGTTCCCATGACTCTCAGCTGAGGAAAGAGGCCTCAAGGGGATGAGAAACTCCAGTACCTAATCTTTGGGAGTAGGGAAAGGAAGCAAATACTAATAAATCAAATGCTAGTCTGTCTGTGTCAAGGGATATCATAGGTCAAAATGTTAGGATTTAAAAAGAAAAACAAAAACTTTTTATTGTGAATCAAGTGAAGGTTTACAGAGAAGATCATTGGTTTTACATTCAACAATCATATACTTTGTTTCATCTCAATGATTTCAATCCCCTCCATGCAACAACAGTTATTCCACTTCCTCCCTATGGTTCCTA